TTTTCTAAAAACTATCCTATATATATATATATCTGTCTGTGTGTGTGTGTGTGTGTGTGTGTGTGTGTGTGTGTGTGTGAAAGGAAACAATAGAGCATAAATGCCCAACCCGTATGATATGTGAGAAAAAAAAAATAATAAAAAAATTAAGTGTTTAAGAAAAAAAAGCTAAACATTTTCCCACTTTCCTCCCCCATAACCTCACTCCTCACTGTCTTGAATCAGAACTATGATATTTAGGTGTTAGATATGTAAAAACATCAAAATTGTGTCGTAAGAATGTAAATTTTCCTTTAAGCTTTCAATATGTGTTTATAATATCATGAAATAAAACTATGGTATTTAAGTGTTAGATATATAAATAATACAAAATAGTGTGGTATGTATATAAATTTTCCTTGAAGCTTTCAATATATGTCAATAGGATTCAAGGCTTACAATATCATGATATTAAAACTATTTTGAAAGGATGAAGTGAGATAAATATCATCATATATTTACAACTCTAATACCTGAAATTCACAAAGCCTAAGTGTTTGCAAATCTATCACCATAAACACCAGAAGTTCGCATTATACATTTTACATTTATAAACATTTTAGGTGATATGCAAACAAATAGACCTTTTCAAGCATGGGGCAGGTGTTATGATGTAAAAATTGAAGATTAGATATAAGATATGTAATACATAACCATTTGGTGGCAAAGGTCGCAAAGTTGTATTTGGCATTTTTGGTGACATGTAAGCAAATAGACTTGATAGACGAAAGTAGCAAAGCTATATTTTGCATTTACATCTTCTCAACTTTTTAGATGTTAAAAAGATGGTATTTTTGCTAAGATATGAAAGATTTGGGCGGTATGAATGTCAAAACTAATTTTTAAGTGTTAGATGTGTAAATACATAGAAATTGGGTGGTATGAAAGTGCTTCTTATATTTTAAATAATTTCATGATTAATACCTTACGCTTGTAACATTTCATTTTTTTTAAATTAGGATTTCCAGTAGTCGTTACAATTGTTTCAGTTAAGTAACAACTACTGTTTATTTTTGGTTAACATCTTTTATTTTATGAATCACCATTGGAAAACATTTATACGCTGCACCCTACAGAGAAAAAATCTTCAAATTAGTTTTTCATATATGTAAGTTATATTGTTGAAGGTTCCAATGCCTCTTCTTTTGGCACATTAATTATCCTTTTTTTTTCATGGAAGACGTGGCTCTTTTTCACACTGAACTTGAATCAGGCTATTTAATGATTGTTAATATCTTGATATTAAGTAATTATTCACTTCATTTTACATAGTTTCGTGATAGGAAAATCTAAGGGCTGTTCGGTTTACTGAAAATAACATGCAGGGTAAAAGGTTTGCACAAGTACTCAGATTACAGTGTACTCTGCTTATTTTGAAGTTGTTTGGTTGGTTGTAAAGTAAATGCAGAGAACTTCTTTTTTTGTTTGGTTAAATGCATGCAAAATAAAAACAGTGTATTCTGAATACTTATGAGTCGTTTGTTTGTGGAAATGAAACACAGTTTTTATTTTTTATGTTAACTAGCAACATTTCATATAATTTTTATAAGTTTACATATAAAGTCAATTAATAGAATACTTTATGCAAATATGACACAAACTAATGCTAAAGTGTATTCCAAGCAAAAATCAACCTCATGAGGATGCAATTATCATCCATAGCTCGAAAAGTGCCTTCAAAATAAAATCTTCGATAAGGCAAAATCATAATACAAAAAGATAATTTATGCATTTCATCAAACGCCATATCAACACTCTTACATGTAGAGGCAGATAAGTATTTAAGCAACAATTAAACTAACATTAACATCCACTAATCTTCAATAAGATGAATTAAGTAAATAAATAAATAAATAAATAAATAGCAAGACCTTCAAGTAGGCTTCCGAAATCTTCATCTAACTTGAGCACATGGGCTCAAACAATACTATTTAAGATGTCGTGTAATACTCTCCCTACCGTCTTCTCAAATAAATTAGTTTTACCAGTAAGATCATGTTGCTTAAGAGTGAAGAACTGTTTACAAGCTTCAAAATAGGAAGAAAATTTCGATAAGTTGTGAAAAGTTGATAGGTTAATGGATGTGGGTTATTTGAGCCTTGCGAAGTTGCCAACTGGAACAGATGATCGATTTGTTATTGTCATACTATTCGAAGGTACGGAGGGGAAGCTTACTAAGGATGAAGCATTGAATCCCTTGTTTCACGAAGCTGAAAGAAATTGCTTTGAAGGTTGAATCCAAAAAGATTTGCAGCACCTTGAAGATACCAACGATTTCCATAAGGGCTAATCGAAGGCCACAGTGGAGGAAAGTGGGGGTAATTTCTGCATATGCAATCACGTAGTAATTGTCGGGTTAAAGTTGACATTTTCTTAAATAAACAACAAACCTCAAAATGAATAGCTAGGAGCAAATCACAATGGAAAATGAGAAAAGAAGCATTGATTTAGGGTACGTTTGACGGACCAGGGGAAGTCAGTTTAGAGTAGATTTGGCAGAATACGGAGGTAGAAGAGCGTGCAGGAGAACGCGAAGGATAACCCGCACTCAAGGAAACCTGCGTGAATGAAAGGAGAAGCCATAGAGGTAGAAGGAAGAACCCACAAAGGAGAACCGCATGAATGCGAAAGAAAACCCGCATATTCCTTTCTTGCT